CCCGCAGGTGATGGAGATTTACCGCTGATTAAAGAACCGGCTTTACTGACAAGATGCGTGTTAAATATCACATGCGATTTATCGTGCAGCCCTACTTCAGACAGTGAAGAACCTTGAAAAACTCTGCATTTTCACATTAAGTGTCTACAGGCAGTCACACACCAGATGCAGCAGTCAGACACACAACTTGCAGCATCCTAAAATCGAAACCATAGTTTTCTATCAATCTTTGCACACCACAGCTGATCATCATCTCTCGACAGCACCTGATATGACTTTGTGGACTGCTCAAAATTCTTATGTGCCATTCAAAAATTGTATACAAAAAAAATATTTTCAAGTGACATGTATATTGTAGGCTAGAAGGTACCTTGTTTATAGACAGTTTTTCAATAACAAGTTTGTTTGTTTGTGGTACTTTGTTTCTTGTAATCTTTTTTTTAATACAACAACCTATAAAACCTCATGTTCATTCATGAAAAAGTGCAAAAACCTTTGTCTTTTGAATTTCACTGTTTAGGACATTCCATCTTGAATATTATCAGGAGTTGACTTTGAACTGAACATATACATGTTCTGTGTGCTATACCTCAATTTTGTCCTACCCGTGATGCGGTGTGGTTTTTCTTGTCCTGTTTTATCCCCTTAAGCACCCCAGTAATTGTTTTACATAAAGTTCATGCCTCATTACCATAGTTCTAATGCATGAAAATCTAGTTTTGATATACGAGTCAGTAATGCTTATTTTGCATCTTTTTTTCTTTTTTTAAATAGACTGTGTGATCTGGGATGAAGTCTCATGAAGTCTTCCATTGGAGCTGACATTCACAGTCAGCAGAATCATCCTTTACCGATCCTCCACCAGACAAAGAACTGCTCATTGCCCATCAACAGAGTCCCACTGCACTGTACCGTCTTACTCCCTGACCATGGCTAGTCGAAGAAAGTCTACAACACCCTGCATGATCCGATTGGATGACTTGGTGACTGCAGACGATCCAGAAGAAATGGATTCCTGTGTGGATGGTCCAGAAGAGAATGGATCCTCACATGTGTCTTCTAGTGACGACTGGACGGATAGGAAGAGTTCTGCGAACTCTGTGCAGGAAGCAACAGAGCTGGAAAAACCTGAAGTGAAAACACAACCACAGAGGAAACTCCAGGGAGGCTATGAGTGCAAATACTGTCCCTTTTCCACACAAAATCTCAACGAGTTCAAAGATCATGTCGATTCCTACCACCCCAATGTTATACTCAACCCACTGTACTTGTGTGCGGTATGCAACTTCAACACAAAAAAGTTTGATTCTTTGACAGAACACAATGAGAGGTGCCATCCTGGGGAGAGCAACTTCAAGTTCAAGAGAATCAAACTGAACAGTCAGACCATTCTAGAACAGACAATCGAAGGTTCGAACTGTGCAGTCATCTATGATACAACCAGCCCTCAGTCAGGAGAGGACTTTACTGCTTTTCCTCTGAGCAAATCCAGTACTGTTAAGGTGGGTAAGCCCAAAGCAGATAGTTTACGGTTGCAGGACGATAGTCCGTTGGACAAAGTCGCTCAAGATCTACCGAAAAAGCAAATTACTGCAGTGAATGTGAACGGGACTGTGATAATTCCAGATGCAACTCTTAAGGATGGCCTCTCTCATATAATGCCATCCTTGCAACGCCCGCCTAACTACAACTTAGTACCAAAAATTGCTGTCCCCTTGAACACTTTAAAATACAACCCCTCGCTAGATGGCAACTTGACCCTCATCACCTCTTTCAACAAGTTTCCATACCCTACCCAAGCAGAGCTCTCTTGGCTCACTGCAGCCTCCAAACACCCCGAAGAACAAATCAAAGTGTGGTTCACTACCCAACGGCTAAAACAAGGTATTAGCTGGTCTCCCGAGGAGGTTGAGGAAGCACGAAAGAAGATGTTCAATGGAACAATTCAGCCTGTTCAACAGGCGTTCACTGTCTTACCTGCTCAGTTAACTCAGTCCACTAAAGCTTCACAGCCCCTTATCCAGACCATCCCTTGCCATGTTCTTGGACAATCTGGCCTAGTGTTGGCACCAGTTTCCAATGGCTCAACTGCTACCGGTGCTCCTCTCGCACTAACAGTGACAAATCAGATAGCACAGGGTGTCAAGAGGCCCCATACAGCACCACTGGTTGCCCCAGAGATAAAGAGGCCTTCAATAATTCAGTCCGTTCAGAGTACTCCCAAGTCTGTCTCTCCAACACCAAGCCTTTCTTCAGATTGTGAGAAAACCCCTGATCAGATCAGAGAGCTGACCACCAGCTATGCTCAGTGCCAGTTTCCTGATGATGAAGAAGTGTATCGTCTCATCGAGATGACTGGCCTCTCATGGGGAGAGATCAAAAAGTGGTTCAGCGATCAGCGCCATGGAAACTATAAGGCAGTGCAACAGATTAAAACAGACCTCTCTTCGAACGACAGCCAACCGCATAAGCCTGTCGCCACACAGTTTCCACTACTAGAGAGAGTTAAAGGCAAATCCTCTGAGCAAATGAAAAAGTTAGAGGAGAGTTTCCAAAGGACTAGCTTTCCAACCCAGGCTGAGATAGAGCAACTTGTGGCAGACACCAGGCTCTCCAAAAACGAAATTGATTGCTGGTTCACAGAGCGCCGTGCACTACGAGACAACCTGGAGCAAGCCTTGCTGAACTCGATGGGCTCAAAAAGGCTGGAGCATCACCTTCAAAGGGGGACACTGAATGGAGTCCATGAGCAGGACAGCAGAGTCAGGGACTCACCTCTTCCCATTCTGACATCCTCTGCGTGTCCAGAGGCCATTGATGGCAAGTCTCTCTGCCTTCTTAAAGACGTGTTTGCACAAACCCAGTGGCCCTCACCAGAGGAGTACAATCAACTAGAAATCCAAACAGGGTTAGCTCGTACAGAAATTGTCCGGTGGTTTAAGGACAACAGATCTGCTTTGAAAAATGGAACATTAGATTGGATGGAGCAATTTCAAAGTCTTAGCAACAAGAGACCGAATGGACAAAACAATACGTTGATCTCAGAGCAGGCCCAGAGTGTCCTACAAAGGCACTTTCAAGAGACAAAGGTACAAAAAGGGGAGGGTTTTGAGAAGCTTGCAGAGCAGTCGAAACTAACCAACCAGGACATTGTCGAATGGTTCACCAGTAAGTTGGGCCACAACATGCCTGATATCAGCAAGAGCAAGGACCAACATGGACAGGCGAGTGTAGATGGTAAGAGGTGGGTTTCCTTGGCAGCTGACATTGATGGCAAAGATTACGATGCACAGAAAGTGGCACGAGACCTTGAAGTGCTATCGGCAGAGCACAGAGTGACAGGATGACATGATAAAGGTAATAGTCCTTTTTTTATTTTAACTAGCTGGTTGATATTTTGAATGGAGAAGGAGCGAGAGTTGCTTTCCCTGAGAAATAGCTGCTTCTCGTGATAATGTAGCAGATGTGGTTGTAAGACACCCAGAATGTCGTAAGTCTGTAATTTAGCCTTTAGAAAAACAGCTTGGCAGCGAGAGAGAGGGCAGAGCTCAAATGTTGTGTGTGCTGGGAGGGGTGGCAGTGTCCATTTTGGATTTTATTTCAAACACATCATCCATAATTTATGTGAGTCAAGTGACATTTGTTGCTTGTTCTGTTGCAGAAGAAAACAGGCTGCTATGACTGAACTAGATGGGCCTGATGATTAAGGAATGACCTCTATTGTCATGAATGGAACCAATGATATCATAATCTGGACTTGAGGTCATCGGACACTAGATGAACTGGAAGCATCTGTGAAACACTGTCTGGAGAGTGACCATGGAGTGCCAAAGTTCGACTGCTATGTTGTTATTATTATACGTTTGTTTTTTAAAAGGGCCCTTGTAAATATTTTTTTCTGTACTTCCAACAGATTTGTAAAATTTTTTGAAGATGAGACTTTTGTTACGTTTATAATAGGAGTCCCGAGACATTTCCCTTGACCCTTATAATGGAATGTTCAATCATTTTTGTGAGTGGACACAAAACTAACTCACCTGCTGGCGAAGCTGGTATAAAACAATGTGGTCCATGAAGGCACTTAATATTTCAAGTGGACACATACAAGCGGTGCTTCAATAAAAACCATCTCATTCCAGAAAACGAGGTGATATTTTGGGCTTTTCTTTGGACCATAAACACATTGCCTGCACTCTCATACTGTACCTTATCGCCAAGGGTAGAGAGCCCACCTGACGGACATAATCAAAACTGAAATCAATACAATACAGAGATGCACAGCACATGTTTATTTGTAGTTATAGGCTAATTTCTGACAATATTACAGTAACTGTAATTTTTCCACTACTTGGCTGTGAACTGCTTTCAGCGCGCTTGTGTATTTCTTTTTCCTGCAGCTGCTTTAGTGTCATGTTCAGACATGTATCAGGACTACTGTACTGCTACCAAGAATCCTGCTTGCTCTTTATAAGAACCAGTCTGCTGTAATTCAATAAAAAACAACTGACTGATAACCTGTTCCGAGTCTCATTGTTTACACGACAGTAGCATGGCCAAAGTAGAATTTCAGAAAACAGAGCCCAGTTTCATTAGGAGCTGCTAATTTTCTTACAGTAAATTGCTGTTCAGGATGCTGCAAAATTTAAATGTAACTTTAACGCGCCTGTCTCCAGTGCATGTCCCTCAAGACACTGTGAAATCAATGTACTCAAATTAGAGCACAGTTGCCGTTTACAGTTTATTTGTAGCATCGGCAACTGAAAAAGCACTCAATGAAATGTAATCTGAACATTTCAGTAAAGATTGTGGTTCAGAACAGTAGTAACCTGACAAGGATTTTGGCAAGAGGTCACTTTGTATAACTTTGATGTGACCGTATCACTATTATATACCATATGCACATAACTGTATCTTTTGCAAAGCACCTTTATCCAAACAACGTGTTGAGGGACATAATATCAAATCAATGTCATTTAGTGCATACTAAATAAAAAATGATAGCACTGAAAGTGATAAATATAACTTCCAGTGTACAAATAATTATAAAACTTTATCTGTTCCTGTCAGAACATTTTTAGATAGCATGAGTATGTATCACAAGATAAATGTTAACAGTTTAATCATCAGTAATGTGTGAAAAGTTCATGGCAGTTTTACTGTAAATGGTTTGATTGATAAACTATACTCAAGGCATCTAAACCTATAAAACAAACAGATGGAAATATCCATACATGTATAAAACAGACTGAAAAATGCACAGCACTTTCATGTGCATGTTCTGATTGTTAATTCAGTTAATTAAGAAAAATTACAATAAATTTAACCTAATTTAGACAAATGAGGTGATAAAGAAAAAAAAACTTTCTAGATTTAAAGTCCATGACCATTCCCAAACAACCATGCTAACAATCTACACTGAACATTTCATGGCGAAATTAATCAGCTACATTTGATTGTGAGCAAGTAACATGAATACACTGAACGATGCGGTCATATTATGGGAAACACCATCAAAGTCCCCTGAATTTTCTACAATTACGGCAACTCTGCTACTGTACATATTTCTTGCAGAGTTTCTGTACACACTGTGAAACTCAATAACAGTGTGATATGACATTGAGAGTAATAGGAAAATACGTAACGCTGGAAAGGAGCCCCGTCACTTTTCCTTGTGGGTCAGAAGAAATGCAACACAAACCCAAAACATAAAATCCATATTCTGCAGCATTGATGTTAGAAGTTTCTGAATTTATCCATTGATGCAAGAGTCAAAGGCATCAGTCATCCCCCAGCCGAAAGCCTTGACCCCAGTTATGGCGCCCACCTCCGCCTCCTGGCTGCTCTTGGGGCACAGGTCTCCTGCTTGGAGGAACGCCGAATCCAGACACCCCACCTCGTCGATTTGGGAACATCTGGTACCTGAGGAAAAAAGAAAGAAAAGAAATGATAGGAAAAATATGACAATAAAGCATAACTATAAATTTTAAGGCGTTTAATAATGCACTAAACCCTTTATAACTCCTAACTTGTTACTTTCATTCAGCTATTAATTCATATATTAATAAACAGGCACTTCATTCATATCAGCACTGCTTGCATATTACAGCAGAATAACAGGAAGGAAATAAACTCACAGGAACTGTGGGGTGGAGAGGAAGGACCTGCCACCCAGGTCCATGGGGTATTTAAACATCAGAAAGAAGTAAAGGTGGCCAACTAAGTTCCCAATCAGCTCGTTGACAATGCTGAAGAAAGAAATAGGTTATTATTACAATTATTATGCTACTGCGATGACTCGTTGTGTAACATTTTCATCAAATGACTATGACATTTGAACATTAATCTGTGTGAGGCAAAAAGATTCTTACGAGCCACCGATGATATAGTTGAATCCCAGAATGACCCAAGGAAGATAACAAGCCTGTGTTAGTGTGAACATGAACAGGTTTTAGTGTACATCAGTATATCATATAAAAACATACTGCATTTAATAATGCACTGAATACCTTGAATCTGGTGCCGAACCAGAAAGATACAATCATGTCACGATTTAGCTGAGCCCAAACGTACAGAACAGACATGATCAAGGGGATCATCAGGAGCTGCAAAACACAAAAAAGCCAATATTTATGAACAAATGAATAAGGAAATCAAAATTCAAATGTCACATAACAGAATTTTCCTAAAAAAAAAAAAAAAAAAGATAAAAGATGCTTTTAAATGTCATGCAATGGTCCTTAAACAACTAATAGGTTACATCAAAGAGCTTAATTGTGCAGAAAATGCTCACACAAGGTTATCATTTCGATTAAGCAACACAAAGTTTCAGATGATGTTAGAAAGACAAAAACTACTTTGAGAACATTAAATGATGATTTACACCAAATAAGAGTGGCAAAGTTTAGTCTAATAAGTTAGAAGATAGCTTCCTTATTTGACTTCTTAATAGATATCCTACACATTACTAAGTGCCAATCACACAAAAAGTGGAAAATTCACATTTAGAAAAAGGAAGAAAAGCAACTGACTAACCTGCATGTCCATCATTAGACCTGTTACCTGAATTATAAACGTTAAGGAAAGATAAAAGCTGTGTGTCAAAGGAAAATGAACATGACTCCTAGAAAAGCTTTTTCTCGCTGAGTGGACGCTGCATAGAATGGAAACCACATCTTCAGAGGATATTAAATCATTTAATGCAATATACTAAAATGCTGAATTCAGCACATCACATTCATTACTCATTCACTGTTAATGTGGGTATGCGCTGTACAGACGCAAATCATTTAATGACAATGACTAATCACTTGTTTGCGTTGTACTGAATGACACATTTAATCTTTTAAAATATTACAGTATAATGTGTACAGGACAGAAAGGATACAACAATACAAATCCAGTTGAATAGAAGCATGAACATGTAGTCTGCTGGTCTTCCATCAAAAGCTCCTGTGAAAGGGAGAAGAGATGATGAGATGTCACATCCCATAGTAATCATCATTTCACTTCCTGATCAAAAAAAGTTTTACACATAAAGAACAGTATTTGTATATGTCATATTAACAAGTCATATTATAAGACTAATAAACACTATTTTATTTTAAATGAAGTGGGTAACCTCACAGGGGCTGCCATTTTGAATTTCTGATTGGCTGAATACTTCTTTCTTTATATAAGTAACCTCCCTATTATTGGACATTTTCACTCATGGAATAGAATTAATCATGGCTATAAATAGAGCATTTTTACAATGGGCATTGTAAGTGAAAACTTGTGATGCTGCATCCACACCACTAGGTGTCAGTTTAAAGGCCCATTCACACCAATAATGATAACTATAAAGATAACTATAACAATAACTAAATTACCATCCACACCAACAGACCATAACACTGTTTAGTCTAAGAGCATGGTGCAGTTTTGTTGTCTGTTGCTTTATGTGCTCTTTAAAGTCGGGTGGATTCTGCCTGGCTGTCAATGTTTTGTCAAAGTGAACAAAAACTATTCTGAAAGTCATTCCAACTATTTTGTTCCTCTGTTGTTATATATGGGAACAGTAAGTCCACACAACAGTTTCAAACCAAATTTTCCAGCTGATAAAAACATTGACAGCCAATCAAAATCCACCTGACTTTAAAGAGCTTAAGCATTTAAAGCAGCAGATGACAGAACTGCAGTTAAGATGACTGTTGTATCGTAGCCCAACTTAAACAAAAAATGCTGAGTGCACTTTTAAGTCCAGTCAGATATTATTTTAATTAAAGGATGATTAATATATTTTAGGAAAAAGAAGCTACCTGTTTCAAGCCTCGTGGAGTACTGGTAGAGGAAATACAAATTAACCAGGTATAGAAAACCTGTCCCTGGGCCAACTGGGAAATAGAACGTTGCAGATATCGGTCTCCATATCTGTTGAGAGAACACAGAAAAACCATTAGTAACTTGACGCAGATTACTGTTGGAGATGCCCATCGATTCTGGCCCATTGAAAGAGATGTATCAAAGTACTTCTTGATAGTCTTTTTTTAAGACTCTTAAAGGGATAGTTCACCCAAAAATTAAAGCTCTGTCATTATTTACTCATCGTCATGTTGTTGTATGTATGTATGTCTTTCTTCTGTGGAACAAATGAAGATGTTTGGTTACCAACATTCTTCAAAATATCTTCTTTTGTGTTATGCAGAAGAAAGAAAGTCATACAGGTTTGGAAAGGCATGAGGATGAGTAATCAGTATTATACTATTATCCCTTTAAACTGAAGTCAAAGTACAGAAAACCAACAGGCACTGAGAATATCCAGCAAGCACCATTTGTATGCAGTCACCAGCACTGGCTGAAAATGATGAAAAATGGAGTGGCTACCATGCTTGCAATGCAGATTTGATTCCCCGCACATTCTGGACTCATTATCCATGTGCCTGAGCACAACTGCAGCTATTACACCACACATCACGCTCTGAGAGGAACAGACACTCATCTGGTCTGTTATCCAGATTTGTTCGGTAATTCCCATACTAGAAAATCTGGGTCAGTAAACAACAAACACGCACCCCTGCACAACATTTTTTAACACTCTCCGGTGTTTAATTTGCTCTCAACATGCACATGCTGCACACCTTATCGCTCTCTATAGTCCCCGGCTGTCTCATTCTCCTCCCTTTCCCTGTATCCCTCTCTCACTTCTAGCGCTTTCTCTCTTCCCTCCGGCACACACAGAAACTCTGAGCTAGCAGTGTTTTTTCGGTCTGGGGGCTGTGAATCCGCTGAGCAGCAATGCTTTGATGTTGGCGTCTGAACTGGCTCTGCAGTAGCCAGGCAGTCCAACGGCCCCCTCACGCACTGCAGCATAAATCATGCCAGCTCACTTGTGTGGAGAGGTGACCTCTGTAGACTGCAGCACAGAGAAAAGTGGGTTAAAAAGCACAGCAGGATTGGTATGCCGCGAGAGGACAGGGAGAGGTTTGTTTGGCCGCTTCTCAACAGCTAAATGGTTTCTGGTTTATGGTTTAATAACAGCGTATGCTCTGAAAGTGGGTGATATCACTCATTTTGCTTATCTGCAGTATCCTGTGTGCAATGTTTTTCCTCACTCCATAGCTGTGTTTACTTCCTATATATGTGCCATAATACAGAAGAAACCTGTACTGGCAGGATAGAGGTCATGAAACGTTAGCTAATAGTGAGCAGACAGGAGTTGAGTTTAGAGCATATTCAAAGGGAGTGGATAAATCACAGAAACACCATGTAAAAATGAGCTTAATGTTTAAGTTCCTAAATTACAACCAAAATTGCAGCTACAAGAATTAATCAATTAGTCATTAGCAGAGGTCAAATTACTCTGTGCCTGAATTCCAGGCGCATCACTCATGAAAACTGGCATGGGAAACAGATTCAAAGCAATAATGCTGCCATTTACAAACTAGACAAGCCAAAGAAATGTGGGTTTCCAAATACATATTAAAATAACTTCTAGGGGGCTTTACTTCTTAAGAAGTGGTGCATTACCACAGTTTATGAGCTGCATGACAGCTGTTTAAGAGAGGGGTTTTCAATCTTTTACATGCCACAGACCCCCAAATATAATAATCCTTTCACAAGGGACTCCCATCCTAAAGTTTAAAAGACAGCTATATTTTTTATGTATAAATACCCAATTTATACTGTGAAAAAATAAGATTAGAAATCTGTGTAAAATATTATTTGGAAAATATTTATGTATTTGTTTTACATAACATTATCACATTTCCCCCTACTCATAGTACTGCTGCATTGTTAGATTAAATTTATTTTTTTTACATTTATTTTAATCAAATTGGTGCAATAGTAATAAGGATGGAATTAATGGATACAAATGTTTCTTACAAACATTAATCTCGTTGTTTTACACTTGTAGCCCACAAACAAATAGCTTTGCGCCACCTGGTGGAAATTACTGCCACCGAAAAAAATAAATATTATATTTTTGATAGTTGATAAATGACCATGCTTAATTACATATTTTAATATATTTACAATACTTATCTTACAGTTTAGGCAGACTGTCAGAATTAGGCATTAGAAAAGTCATCCTCCGTAATGAGGACAACAGAACACCATTATTTATATTATTTGTCGCAAAACTTTTCCTAATTAGGTATAGCAAATAAGGTTAAAATATTTGCCATCACATTGAGAAGCAGTGCTTGTGGAAGGAAAAAATGTAATTGGGCAGCCCACGAAAAGCCTGTTGTCCCGGAAGTAGCCTCAGACGCGTTCTCGGCGGTCATTGGTTGAACGGAGCAGGCTGGGACGAGTACAAAGTTTTCTGTGGCTGCGCAACTTTTGATTCAATGGCGTTTCCTGTCTTTCAATACTACAATATACCGCCAGTATAACATTCTAATGGTGACGTACAGATGGAGGGTGCGATTATGCTAAATAAATTTGGATACTGTCGATGCATAAATAGCACGTGTTTACGCTCTTAGCCATCTCTTACCATTCTCATTCTGCATAATCATAAAGCATCGTATTAAGTATTCGCTTCGACAACCTTTAAATACCTAACATTCAGACTTCCTAAAGTACAACAAAATATTATATAACAAACCACGTAATTTAGGCAATCATGTGCATGAGATTTTGAACAACTAGACTGCTGACTTTATACAGTGATCAGCAAACCTTCTCGGTTCACTACAGCACAGTTCTCCTGTAACACAGTCCATGTGTGGGCATCAGTTTAACGTTACTTCGGGACGAGGCCTACAACAAGGCCTTGTCATCGCAGCTGTTGTCTAAAGTCTCCGTTCTGTTGAATTTCATGTAAACCTACCTGGAATTTATGAAAGAAAGCCTCCGGCCATAACACAAGGTACATAGGACTGATTAATCCCAGTTTTCCTATTAGCGGCACTGCAATTGAGGCAGCAAACCAGTAACGAGTGATGAAAGGGATGTTTTTAAACCAGTCCCCGATATCTGACATCTTGCCATATGATTAGAAAGCCTGGAGATTCTCTGTGGGTTCTCCGCCGATGCGGGTTAGGAAAACGAGTCTGTGAACACAAGGCAGAAATGCTGCTTCAGTCTTCTATTTTGGTTCAGTTAACGTTACCCTGTGGTACGCACTCCTTCCCCGTTTGGTTTACATGACGTGGCCGCGTACAGACGCGTCCTTGTTGCGATTTTCCGTTAGATTTGACTGTCAAATTAACAGTCATGCAAAGAAATACGGATGTTTATTATCTAAACGCAGATATTTGAAAATGTAGTTTTTTTATAATTTATATGGGTTGTATTCACATAATTTACCACAATTATGTGTAACGTAGTGAGAACTTTAAGACCGCTTAATGAAGTCGTTAGAAGTCTTTTATGTTGACGTCTCATTCGGGGCGTTTTGAAACCGGAAGCGGCTACCTTGTGGCGCTACTTTTGGTGAAGCGAAGGTTTCTTATCATTTTATGTGAGTATATTTTCAAAAATATCGCAGATAAGTAGTTTAAATGTTTTTTAAAAAATGATCGAAAACGAAAATGCCATAGCTTACCAATTAGATCTATAAATTGTTAGTACATTTCGTTAAAGAGATAGTAATGTCATTATTTATCGTTCATCATTCACTTCCAAATTCTTCATCATTCTCAGTCACCATTCACTTATCTATATCTTTTCCCACTCAGTAAAAGTGAATGGTGACAGAGGTTGTTATTCTTTATCATATCTTCTTGTGTTCCATTGAAGAAAGAAAGTAAGACACGTATTGAATAACACGAGGATGAAATAATAAAAATTATTATTATTATTATTTTATCTGGTAGACTATCCCTTTAAATGTTCTTTTCAAAAGCACGTTTGCCAAACGAGTCAAAGCAGCACGTGAGTTTGTGGGTTGAATTTATGCTCCCCCCCCAAGCAGTCCTATAGCTTCCTGATATGTCAATAAGTTCAGTGCAATCCACCTTGTCCACTCTGAAGTCATGTCAGGCAGATATTGGAGCTTGTATGGACATGGTATCAGATGTTGCGCTGGGAATAGTTGAAGCACAAGGTGAGTGATTTCTGAAAGATCATGTGACTTTGAAGACTGGAGTAATGGCTGCTGAAAATTCAGCTTTCTTTTGGACATACTTTTTAAAATGTACTTTACCTTTGTCTTTTATTTCAGGTATGGATAACAGTCCAGCTCTGAAGAAGCTGGAGGAGATGATTCTGGAGTGCTCCAGACTGGACAGAGAAATCAGTTGTTTCGTGGAGTCTGTTGATGAGAAGACTGCTCAGGTTTGTCTTATTGACTGTCACTGGTGCTTCATTTTGACCAGCATTGAGCCACCGTGGCTTTCCCTCGTATGTCCTGTAGGTCAGACGTGAACCTCCCGAGGCCATGTTTCATCTGAGGAGCTCTGTAAAGGAGCGTTTCACTGAGCTTACAGCTGGAGTTACAGATGCAGACCTGCAAAGGCACAGCAAGGTTGTTGCCTTCAGAGACAGTGTCAGGAAATATGCCATGCAAGGTGAGGAACTCACCCTTTTTTGCAACACAGCATTCACAAAGGCCGCATGTTCTAAGTGAAGTGATGCAGTTCCTAAATGTATATTTATGCATATGTATATGCAGCAGGTCAAACTGCTGCTGAGAATGAAGAGGAGGAGTTGGATGAGGACATTGCTGTAACACAGAGCCAGACAAACTTCATCTGCCCTCTCACCCAGGTAAACATCAGCACCATTTCACGTCATCACGTCAGTGCACAAGCCCTTGAGTTAAAAGTTCACATTTGTAGTGGTGTTTTTGTGTGTTATTTGAATTGCAAGAATAAGAAAAATATAGAAATGTCATATCATACAAACTTTTTTTACTGTACCTTGTTCTGACAGGTTGAGATGGTCAATCCATTGAAAAACAAGAAATGCGGTCATCACTATGACCAAGAGGCTGTACTTGAAATGATTAAGGCTAAGCACAAAAATAAGAAGAAATTTCGGTATGTAGCCACTGCTCAATTCTGTCTTTATGTTGTCCCAAATAAGTATACAGTTACTATGCATAATTCATTTCCATATCCTGCAACCAACAAATATCAACTTTTATTTATTTATTTACTTACTTTTTTTTTGGAAGTGTTCTCTTTCTTTATATTTGAGCTTCATACACTTACACAACCATTCAAATGTTTGGGGTCGGTAAGATTTTAAAATGTTTTTGAAGATAGAATATACAGTTTGTACAGTATAAAAACCATTACACCTATGAAGAGTCCCTGTAAACCACATATGCCAATATGTGTGTGTGTCCTTAATGTACAGTATTTGTAAACATTTTAAGGAACACTGGATATTATTTAATGACATTTTCCCATTTTTTGTGACCTTATCTAAAGTGAAAACTATTCACTCTTTATTACCAATTAACAATTCCTTTACTATGAGCTAATTAAACAATAATAATTGTGTTAATTATGTATTTACTTAATGAAGAACTCACCATTTGTAGAGTCTACTAATGTATTAACTATTGTTTATAAACTATGAATTAAAGATGAACTAACAGTTTTTAATAATTTTAAATACTTTATTAGTGTATACTTATAAAGTGTTACCACTGTTTTGTTTTAATTATTAGTCTTCAGTGTCACATGATCCTTCAGAAATCATTCTAATATGCTGATTTGCTGCTAAAAAAACAAACATTTTAATGTTAAACTTAATGTTATTTATTAAATCTTGAACCTATACCAGTGTTACATTTAATATCAATATTAACAATATTAATAAATATTGTTATATTGCCGCTAATATTAAAAACTGTTTTGCCGCTTAATATATTTGTGGAAGGCACCATTTCTTTAGTGAATATTAAGTTCAAAAGCATGTAGAAAGTTCTAAACATTTATTTGAAATAGATTTTTTTTGTAACATTGTAAAATTCTTTACTCTCACTTTTGATCATTTTAATGTATCCTTTGAACTGTAGTGTATAGAATAATATAACAGCCACTGTTGCCAAACTCTCTGTCATTCTTCACAGCTGTCCAAAGGTTGGCTGTGGAAATGCAGATGTTCAGCGGTCAGACCTCGAGTTGGACTTGCTTATGAAGAGAATGATTCAGAACCACAAGAGACAGTGGAAAAACCTAATTTGACTAAATCAGTCCTGCAGATGGTATAGTTGTTCGGTCTTTAATGGGAAAATGGTTTTGTCTGAATGTTGAAATGTAGAACTGGAGTTTTGTTGTAAAATTTGGTTCATGTTATAGTTAATATATAACACATTTATAGTTCATGTTTGTAATACAAAAATAAAGGCACTATTCTTGTCAATGCTGACATTTTTTACATTTAGTCATTTAGCAGACGCTTTTATCGAAAGCGACTTACAAATGAGGACCATAAAGGCAGTCAAAACTAACAAAAGAGCAACAATATATAATATATATAGTCTCGGTTAACCTAACGCAGTACACGTAGCAAGGTATTTATATATATATATATATATATATATATATAAAAAAAAAAGCTAAATACATTTTTTTTTCTGATGCAAGCATCAAAACAATGCCCTACTATATTGCAATGCATCAAAGCAGTCAATCCAAGGCAAGAATAACTTAAAGAGGTTGCCACCGTTTAGTAAACTGTGAACTAGAGGTCTGATCGTCTGCATTCCCGCGGGGATTCGGGATTAAATTCCCGAATAAAATGCGGTAGCGGTCGGTAACTCTGGTGTAACTGGA